GGGGGGGGGGGGGGGGGGGGGGGGGGGGGGGGGGGGGGGGGGGGGGGCGTTGTTTCATTGGGGCTTTCTTGTTTGGGAGAAGTAAGAAACGTATTCAAATATAACATGCTGAGTGGCGGACGAGTTCAACTTCGAAGTGTATTAATGTTCAGCGGCGCGCGCTCCCAAGAGAAAGAGGTGTGGGCCTGGTATGCTCGGAAGCACCTGCATGGTGGTCCCTGAACATGGGCCTGTGGTCTGACTGACTGGCTGCACGAACGGCCTTTGCTTACGTTTAAGCAGACACGCGGATGAAAACGCTGATATGCTGTCGCTGCTCAGACGGTTAGCAGGGGCGGTGTACGAGAAGCACACCGGCGGTCATGCGCTACCGAGCTGATCTGCCGAGTTCACCAACCTCAACCATCGCATGGATTCGAACACTCCGCAACGTGACCTATCAAAACATTTTTGGCGATAAGTTCTCCCCCCTGCAGCCCCCCGTCTGACTTCCCGCCCCCCCGACCAACATTAACCACTTGGCGTGTATGCAACCGCCTGCGAATCAAACTCGTCACTCAACCACCAATAGAGGAGGGCTAAAGTACGACGGCAGGATGAACGCAGGCGGGGGAGCTTACCCGCAAGCTCTTCGTCGGCGATCGAAGCGCTCCTAGCATCACCGGCGGGAATCGGTGGAAGAGGCGGCGGCAGCGATGGCGGCGACGCGTCATTGCTGGACAGCGTCGGGGCAGAGATAAGGTAGCAGGACTTGTTGTGCCACTCTCAGTTCGGATGTTTGTCACTGGAAACGAGACGATGTTGTCCCGCCGATGTCTTGCACGACAGACTCTGCATGAAGCATGAAGCGGGTTGGCTGAGGCATGTAGCCGGTCGGGCGTGATTGTTTTGTGTCGGCACCAAGTGTTACGATACAATGCTCCAGCCTCGGGCAGTTCAAAGACAAACGTCCTACGCATAGTTAGGGCAAAACACGGCCGTCTGAATACATGTAAATCACGAGGTATTTGACCAACCAACCTGAAAACATGTAATCACAAGGCATTTGACCAACCAGCCAGTCGTTGTATCGCGATGAGACCCTATTTTCGTTGGCAGCAGCGGCAACCAGTTCTGACACTTGGACACCATCATGTGCCGCTCGACAGGGGTTTGGCGAAGAGGGCTCTAGACCTGCGCGATGACCTACTGAAGGAGCATCTGGTCACGCTAGGGCGCGTCCGTCGTCTCGTCTTGGATGGGAGCCTGGTGAGCTGTACCGCGGCTGCTGGTCTGGAGTATGGAAGGGCGTGAATAGGAGGATCTTTCATGTTCCCCACGAAACAAAAGTGATCAACACGAGACGACATGTGTATCTAGTCTAGTCTATCCAGAGCAGACCGGACAACACGACAACTTGTATGAATCAAGCCTAAGCACGACCTACAAGCAAACCTTTCTGGGTTGGTGTACGCCGTCCATGCCCAGCCAGGCCATTCCTACCACCGTAGCTGCCATGAACCACTTGCCCCCCTGACACGCGGGCATTCCGTCTAGCGCCTAAGACTACGATTCATTATGCACGATAATGGAGACACCCCTCCCCCCCGGTGTTTGCCATCGGGGTTGGGTTTTCGTCGCTTGGCAACGACGTTGTAAAACAAGCCGCCCCCCCCGGTGTTTGCCATTGGGGTTGGGTTTTCGTCGCTTGGCAACGA